AATTTGGAAGACAACATCAATTTATATAATGCATATATGAATTTGAACAATATGCATGATCTGACAGCATCTAGCTGTAAATAGGGTTTTCAAAGGCTCGGCCTCTTTCCCTTTTATATACTGAATTATACTGAATAATAGACAAGCCGGCGAAAACAGAAAAACCCACAAAGATAACCGCCAGAGACCACGATGAGCATCATCACAGTTGTAAAATAGAAAAAAATTGTGAACCTATGACAAGGATGGTTGGGAAGAGTAGGGAATGAAAAACGACTGCAAAGCTCAACTCTCTAGAGGATAAAATGAACATACATGGAGACTAATTTATTACAAATAAAACCACCTCAAAAAACAGGCAGCCCCTTTTCAACGTCCAAAAGTTGTTTGTTGGGAATGGAAGTGGATCAAAAGGATTTTGTGTCGTTCGAAGGTAAATGTTTACGTAATTTGGCTTTGAAAACTGATAATCTAGATGACGACTCAATTTCGAAAGGAAAATTATTCCAGAGGAAGGTGTATCTGGAGGCAAAAACGAGCATGGATGGACGTCGATCTACGAGCAGCAAAATGTCGATCTGCAGGAGTGAGGGTGTTATTTCGTTGGAGACGAGAGCTAGAGTTAGCCCAATGCATAAAGCGCAGGCTGACTTCGAATTTTCTAACTCACAGAAATATAATATTCGGTAGGTGACATCCCTCCGTATAAGAAACACTGGATCGAGAAAGAGGCAATAAATTTCGGGTGAAAACTCTCCGAACCTTTTCTACCTTGCCGCGGTCAGAGGTACTCATCAGGCCAAAGAGGGGACAGCTGTATTCTTAGATGGGGAGAGCAAAGATGTGGCACAGTTTCCACTTTATTTCCGGAAGGAAGAAACTAGTTGATGTGAAATTACATACCCGTGTAGCTTTTGCAGAAACTTGATCCACATAAGGCGATAATGCCAATAATTAATAATGTTTTTTTATTCCGTGAAATCAGTCTGTAAATAGACGTGATTCGGATATTAAGAGCGCATGCCTGTTTAAATTGGTGAGCCTTCAGTGTGTCATTGGTCGTTTGTTGAAAGTTGAGGATTACATTTAGATCTACCGGAACTCCTGACGATAACACATAAATAATAGTCTGTTTGAGGAAGAGTTGCAAGCTTGCTTGCTTTCAAATAAGTTTGCGTCTCGAAGAGAACCAAGTATTTTAAATAGAGCTTTATTGTTCTCTAAATAGTTCTGTACGCATGAGAAGGCGGAGTTCGCGTTTATATGCAGTCACTTTTGCATCAATCGTTGTGTCTATTGACGAATAAAGGTAAAACGATGCTTAAATACTAGGTATACGATGTACTTAAATTTTTTAAATAAAAAATTGTGTGCATATAGGCTTAGAATATTTCGAACGGTTGTGGACAATTGGATTCACATCGGATTTACTTGAGACTGCAACAGTTATCCTTTTATGATATTTGCTGAGCGAGCTTTTTCGCCCTGAAGTATTAAATCATTTTTTTCTGTTTACTTATGATACAGTAATCAAAGTAAATTGATCTAAGGGCCCGGAAATTACGCATACTACAGTCAACAATAAATTCTCCTACACACACACACACGGCCCCGAGCTAGGCATGGATGGGGATGGGGCCAGATGGGGCATTCCGGGGCTCTCCAGGGATATCCGAGGCCAAGGGTGAAGGAAAATTTATTCTACAGTTTTCTCGAAATATATATTTTTTCAAAAAGGATCAAAAACCATTAGTGGTGTGTGGAATGAATTCGACGGAGCCAAATTTAACCAGTTAAGCCCCACCTACGGAAAATATTTTCGCAGCGTGCGCCCCCGTTTTCCCGTTTCCACCCACTATTTGATAGTTTTATCAAAGAAGAAGACGCAAACTAAGGGTTGTTGATACTTTTTTTGACAAAAATAGATTTCGATATATTTGTCGAATAAATATGCTTCACCCGTGGCCCCGGAGAGCCCCGGATTGCCCCGTCGGGCGCCGGGTATTTCGAAGGGGCTAGGCGGGGCTGGTGCTAGCAGGAGAAGGAATTTTTAACGATCTATGACTAACTTACCACTAGATTTGCTCGACCCTAACATTGTGCGTTCCTGTCTTCACCCATCAGTTGTCAGCTGATTTTTTTTTTCGCGTCGAAATCCACACATACACTTCTACTCGGCTTGTCCTTCCAATCAGTCGGTGAGCTCGAGTATACGTTATAAGCAAAAGCTGATATGCATACTCCCTTTGACGAGAACAAGTTTGTTTTTGTTTTCTAAGATATCAATAGAACAACTTATTTTAATTTTACTTTGTTTTAATACGCTAAATTTGAAGCGCTGTGGATGGGTGCAGCGTACGCTGAGGATTTAATAGCAGTAATTGTTATTAAGAGGGTACTATAGTGTAAGCTGCTACTCGACATACTGTATGAATCAGATTGTTGATATCGATAA